CACCGTGCATCTTATGCTATAAAATCGATTGAGGATTTCTTGTTCTAGTTGATCCCAGTTATCGATAGATCTAGCCTCGAGGTCCGTGTACTAGTCAAAAACATTTTCTTTTAGCGAGCGGACAAACTGCTTGATGAGGTAATCTCCATAAGTCCCAACATTGTTGCACGTCTCCACGAAGTGCATAATATGTTGCTTTGGGTTACCTGTACCATCAAACTGTTGAAACGTTAGAGGTTGATAGCCAGCAGGCATCTTCAACATATCGACCCTTACAGTGTACGACTTTGCGTATGTAAGGGAGGATTTAGCATCAACTTTATATTTGTTCTTAATGGTTCCTTCGATGAATTCCTTCAGTTGATCGATTGGAATCATCCCTTCAGATGAGACAGGGATAGCCTTAGTGGATGCTGCTTGTCTTGGGGGAGAGTCACTCTCTAGAACTTCTGGGAGCTTGCCGGGTGCATGGGTAGATTCTTCTTCCATCAAGATTCTCACCCTGTCTGTTAGCTTGTCAATTCTAGCCTCTTGATTTTGCATGCATTTGGTCAAGCCAGCGATTGCTTCCATCAAGTTTGCCAACTACTCCTCCATAGATGAAGTGTTTGTCACCATGGCTTGCATGATTGTCGTGGATGACGGAGAGTAGCATAGATTTTTACATATATTGATCCTTGACTGGCTCACGCCATGTGGTGTAAGTGGGGAGGATCCATCGCTTGAAGCATCATCATCTTCCTTCACAGCAGAGTGCTTGGAGCCGGAGAGGTCAAGCAGAGCAAGAGTTTTCTTGATCTTTTCAGCAACATCACCTCCTTCAGATGCGTTTGTGGAAGATCTTGCTCTTTTTGAGGATGAAAATCCGAAAACAGGGGTTGATGCGGACGACACTTGGGGTTCTTGTTGTCCTAAAGAGCTTGCTTTGCTCCTCGTAACTGGTCCGAAGCTTCCAAAGGTGACATCGAGGATGTTTTCCACATCAGCATAGAACCTGGAATTAGCAGCCTTGGTGGATGTTGATTTGGAGTTAATTTTCTTCGAAGCCATTTCAATATTCTTGGACTTTGGTGATTGAAAAGTTGAGATGGGAGGTAGAGACTGTCCCACTGGGCGTGCCAGAATTTGTAGTCAATAAATTACATCGAGAAAATAAAATCAAGACCGAAAATATCGCAACAATCATAGTATTTTATTTCGAATATTTGAGTGTTACAATCTCTATGAATCCTCTAATTCTTCCTTCTGATAGCAACAATCTTATTTCAAGGGCCTTTGAGCTTGATCTTGAATATGTATTTGTTGCCTCGAACGATGATCTTATTATTGAGCTTGAGCTTGATTGCTTGAACTTGACCTTGATTTGTTCTTCGTTCTTGAACTTGCACTTGATTTCTTGAACTTGAACTTGAAGCTTGAAACTTGTGGAGGAATTTGCAGCGTTTCATCCACGAGCTCTTTCTTGCTTCTTGTGATAACTTCCGGTCCCTTTTCTGAGTTATGAAGACCCCTATTTATAGTTGTGGAAGGGAGGAGTCATGATAAGAACAAACTCTTTCCGACCAATCAAATTGAAGTGTGACATGACCGCATTTGATTGGCCAGAACATGTCACTTGCACACGTGGCACGATTTCATTGGCCTTTTAGTGTGACTGGGCATGCTTTGTCATTTTGACACATGGCACGATCCTATTGGCTCTTTGGTTTGACTTGGCGTGCCACGTCATTTGACACGTGACACCAAACTAGGCCTCTAAGAAGATGACATCTTGGGCTTAATGGAGTGGGCTCATCACCTTAGCCCAATTAAATGGGCTAGCCCAATGGATTAAGACTTATTTATTTAATTCATATATATTGATTTTATATAATTAATTCAGTTATATTAGCCTATAGTATTTATTTGGACTAGTACATTTAAGATATAGTCCAAATTATGTATTAAATTTGAATCCAATAAACTTTACATGCCTACACTTATCTCCTACAGTATTGTACTCTTTAGTATTTAATTCTTTCATAACGTGTTTCACCTTTTTCAATCTATTCCATACATCTTTCATTACATTATCCTCATTACTCTCTTTCCATGCTCCTTTGACTATCTTTAGAAAATCTTTATGTTCAGTTAGATGATTCAAGAACTTGAAAGACTTGGGGACTATCTCTTCCTTTTCTTCAAGTGTAACACTCAAAGGTGAATGATCAGAACATCCCAGATCTATTACCCATACCTCTAGATAAGGTATTTTCAGTGTCCACTATGCATTAACCAGTGCTCTATCTATCCTGCTATATGTGTGCCCATTTGTCCATATGAAATTTCTTCCCTTAGTCCTCATTTTAACCAAACCAGTATCATCTATAAAGCTATTAAAGTCTCTCATCTCCACATCTTGGACATGATTATCAATTGGTCTATCCTCCTCAGATCTTATGGCATTATAATCACCCATGATTAACCATGGTATTTGCTATCTATTGTTAATATCTACTAAGTCTCTCCATAGGTGTCTCCTATCATCCAGTGTATGCAAGCCATAGACTGCAGTGAATTCAAACCTCATATTCATGCTTTTGATATGAACTGCAACATGAATAAACTGAGAAGATTTCCCCATCACCAGGCATTCTATCTCATTAGTATCCCATAATAACCAAATTCTTCCTTTGCTGTTGTGCTCATAGTTTGCTAGCCAGTGCCACTCTGTAGTGATTCCCTTATTATTTGATCAGCCTTCTGCTCCTTTATTTTATATTCTAAGTATTGCTATCATATTTACTTTATATGCTTCTTATGTACTTCTTGACCTCCTCCTGCCTAGGGACCTAATTCAGACCCCTAATGTTCCATGTTACCAGCTTCATACAGGAATGAATAAAGCCTGTGAATACCCTTCCTCCCCTGCTTGACCTCTGTGCCTATTCGAGCCTTCACCTAATTGCCTTGGATTTATTAGCTGCAATCCAGATTCTGCTAGTATATTGAACCCATTTATGATGCTAATTGAATCCTCCCTTGCTTTTTCCTTGCTTCGGGCTATTGATTTTCTTGTGGCTTTTCTCCAATTCCGCTCCTCCTTTCCTCTAGCTATCCTTGCAGGTGATTGAGCAGGTTTACTGGTTTCCTCATCACTCCTTATTACTTGACTCCTTTTTGCAGGTGCTACATCTTTCTGCTCCACCTTGTCACTATTTCTATCTGTAGGTTGCCATTCCTGTTTCTGTTTTTGCTGCTTACGCTTAGTCTTCTGCATAGGTTGCTCATCTTTACCACATCTGTGTCCAACTGCATACAAACTTGATAGAATTTCGGAATCCAGTCATAAGCTACTCCTTGGACAAATTCTCTTCCAGTTGGATTTGTTACCTTAATGGCCTTAGGAAGCTCTTTGGTTACATCCATCTCAATTAACACTCTAGCATATGTGATTCGATCCAATTGAGCAGTACAAACATCTGCATATAGTGGAACCCCTAAACCACTACTTATCCTGCTTAGAGACTTAGCTCCCCAGCAAATCAATGGAAGGTTAGGAAATTTTTTCCACACAGGTATAGTTTGCAGAACCTCCTTACTAAAATCAAACTTTTCTGACCAAGTCTTCATGATTATTGGCTGTGTACCCAGCATATGTAGCCCTGAATACAATACTTCATCTCTGTCTTCTATGGAGTTAAACCTTACTACAAAATATCTCTCATTGTGATAGTAGAGTTTTGGCTTAGTTGTAAAATTCCATAGCTCGTATTGTTAGAGTTGTTCCAACAATATAAAGGATCAACGCTTGCTTTCATGTCCTTGTCTCTTCCTCTACTTTTTCCTTACATAATTCAACCATTGCTTCTCCATTTTTATGACTGGTGCAACGAAACTTAGATCCATGCCTTTTGTCGCCAATCTGTTCCCCACAAACAAATTAGCCCAATTCTTCTAAGCTACCTCTGCGTTCTCATCTGCTAATATGACCTTACTGTTATCAGCTTCCAATTTATCCTCAATTTTTCCACTATTACCAACAATTTCATCAGAATTACTCGCAATCAATCTAGCATTCTCTACATTAGCATTACCATTAGCCCTCTGATTACCAGCCTGTGTTCCTAAATTGTTTGCATGCAAAGCAATTTCTCCTAAGCTAGGTCTTCCGATTTGCAGTTGATTACCAGAAATTACCTTTGCATTCTCAATCATCGGTATATGACTCATCGCATGTGGCGTTTTCAGACCTTCCTTTGCGGCTGATAATGGCAGTCATTGTTTCATTGAAATTCTCGTTACATCTGCGGATTCCAAACTCTGCGTTCCAGTAATTTACGAGCTACCAGTTCCCGTACAGTTTCCTAGCTAAATCGTCGTTGCATTTTTCCTCGGTCTTCCCCTCCCCATTGTTTTCAGCGTATGTTAGCAAGAACACGCTATCATGCTCTGAGAGAGAAAAGAAAGAGAAAATCTTTAACAAGATCTTTTTAATATTTAATAAGTTTTAAATTGTCGATATGTTTATTATACCATTACTTAAATTTCCTTACAAGAAATAACATGACATATTTATGACCACGAGATTTTAAGAATATTTTAATATGTCATAAGTATCTCAAGGCCACAAAATTTAAAAAAACTCTCAAAATGGTGACTTAAATTAGCCAAGTCAAAAAATTTCTCAAAATGTTGACTATTTTATTGCTTGTAAAATAGTACTCTATATTGAGAAGCAATGGCATTACGGAAGGAATTTGAAAATTAGGTACCTGTTCTATCCGGATTATGTGAAAAATGAACATGACATATTGGTTACAATAAATCATTTTTATTGAAGTAACAATTCTAAAATAAGTTACCGACCAATAGTCAAAAAATCAATAGCACACTGCTTAATTTAGCAGTAGTAGGCATTCAAGTTGACATATAATGGACAATTATTGGGAAAGTAATGCAATTACAGGAAAATATGAGGGTGTATAAATAGCTGTTTATATCCTATGAGGTGTTAATGAAATTAAACAAACTATTTACACAATGTTACAAATTACAATCATTTAAAACAGGCCGAAAGTATGGGAAGACTCGAATTTATCAAATTCTTACATGCTTCCTAACTTTTCTGCTCCAATGGACCACAACCAGGGACATAAAACGTAATTTCACAATCCCAAGTCCATTTTCATTTCAACTGCTTTTCTCTTCTGTCCCAATCAAATTCAAAATCAATTCAGACCAATGAGCAAAGAAGGAAGTAGAAGAAGAGGCGGATGGAGTTGGACTTCCGCCCTCGTCGGCGCCGCTGCTGCCGGCATGGCGGTGGCGGCACTGTCGTCGAAGCCACGGGACCCAGATTTCCACCTCATCTCTATCGACCTCACTTCCTTCAAGCTCAATTTCCCAGTACTAGACGCTGAACTCATCCTCACTGTCCACGTCACAAACCCTAATGTCACTTCAATTACTTACTCGTCTACAGAAATGTCGATTTTCTACTCCGGCGACCACCTTGGTTCGGCTCGGGTGAAAGCCGGATCACAGCCGCCGCGTTCCTGCCAGGTCCTCCGGCTACCGGCGCGGCTGAGCGGCGTTCAACTGGCTCATCACGGCAAGGAATTCCTGTCCGACGTGGCGAAGCGGGAGATGGTACTGGATGCTACGGTGGATATAGAAGGATTTGCTAAGGTGATGTGGTGGGACCATAAGTTCCGCGTGCACGTGGATAGTCACGTGACTGTCGACCCGGTTTTCTTTGATGTTATTGACCAGGAAAATAAGTCGGCTTTGGAGGTCTTCGTTAGGTGACGTCTGAACCGGCCACCCGGCGGTTCCCCGGTCAGTTTATTATATTTTGTTTAAGGTTTAATATTGTTCCTAAGTATGACTCATGTTTCTCGCCCCACGTGGTTAAATTATATAAAGCTCTATGCAATCTAGTTAATTAAGAAAAGAAATGGTTGCTCTTTTGAAAATTGAACTTTGTTTCCTCTAAGTAAATGAATTATGTTCAGTATGGTTGTCCAATGTGTGAAATTTTAAAGATGAGGTTCAAATTTTAAAAAGACAATAAGTTATTACTTTCTCTTTCCCAATTTATATAAATATTTTTTGCCTTTTGAGATAGTAAATTTAAATATATACTCCCTCTTTTTTAGTTTACGTGAACCTATTTCCTTTTTGGTCCGTTCCAAAAAGAATACCCCTTTCTAAATTTGATAACAATTTAACTTAAAGTTACAATTCTACCATTAAAGAGAAACTTTTATAACCACACAAATACTCTGGACCCCTTTTTGACTTGTTTAGGACCACAATTACAAAAATCTTCATTTTTTCTTAAATTTCGTGCCTAGTCAAACAAGTTCACATAAATTGAAACGGAGGGAATAATATTTAAGTTTTTGGAAATAAAATTTATATATTTGAAAATTACGTCAAAAGTACTACAAATCATAATAATTAATTATTCAAAATATTTAAAAGACGTCAAAAAAAATTATGGAAAGAACAACTCATTTGACTCACAAAATTCGAATACCCTCGCATAAATTGGGACAAAAAAAATAGTTAAATTTTTTCATTTGTTTAAGCCTAAGCCTAAGTAAAGCAAAGTATCTAATATCTGTACCACTGGAAGATAACAGATACTAGATATAATAGTTTAGGTGCATATAAGTTGGCACAAATACAATCATCAAAAGTGCGAAATATTGACACACCTTGGACCAGTTTTGAATCAGGTTTGAAAGTCAAAATTTTTGGATTGGACCAGATTTAATTATCCATCTTAATACAATGGAACGAAACGTAAAGTTGAAACTGAAGCGGGGTCTAAGTCCACTTCACCGTGGGAGTTTTCCGACACGAAAGAATGCTAAGTTCAGAAAGCAAGGAATGGATTAAAATTGGGGCAAAAAACATAAGTAGGCACTATTCTAGAAAATTTAACATAAGCACAGCAGAAATTCATAATTAACAAAAGTGGCATTCATAATTAACAAGAATGGCAGCAACTTAACGTTTTTCTCGGCGGTTACAAATCTATTATGGCAACTAATCTTAACAATAGCATAACAGATTCCTAAATCAGAGGAGGGAACAAGATATAATAACTCCAATCTTTTCCTTCCTATTTTTTAACTCAAAATATTATCTTTCAAATATGTTTTACGAATAAAATACAATTAAGAAAAGATAATTGTATCCTAAAAAAATTACTGTATAATCTCGTATATTGAATTGATAATTTGATAGGATACATGTATCTAATTTTTAAGTATATCTTGTATATTAATATATGTGATTCCCCATATACATATTTTGTATTTAACAATTGCATATTGAAATTATATATCATCCGGTATATTTAAAAAAGAAGAAGACATGTAAGGTATATATGTGGTATATATACATTTTAAAACTATTTATGTATAATAAAATATCTTAAGTGTATGTATGTGTGTATAAAATGTATATATATATNGGAGTTGTAACTTTAAGTTAAATTGTTACCAAATTTAAAAAGGGTTTATTCGTTTTGGAACGGACCAAAAAGGATATAGGTTCGCATAAACTGGAACAGAGGGAGTGTGTATATATACACACACACCCTCTAAAAAAGATTTTCAACCAGCAGAAAACTCCTTTCTAGCCACCACTTCGAAAATATCTCTTACCAACTCCAAATGTTTAATTTATTTACCAATTCAAATATACCTGATATATTTCAAGGTATATTATTATCTTGATGAGATTATACAATATCGTTATACACATATATACATGTATATAGTTTCAACATATTATAAATCATGTATAACGATATTGTATAATCTCATCAAGATAATAATATACCTTGAAATATATCAGGTATATTTGAATTGGTAAATAAATTAAACATTTAAAGTTGATAAGAGATATTTTAGAAGTGGTGGTTAGAGAGGAGTTTTCTGCCGGTTGAAAGTCTTTTTTAGACCGAAAGCAATTTTGTGCTTAGATAAGATGATTATGAGGTAAATTTTTAAAAATAAGATGAGAGGAGAGAGTATGAAAATAAAAGGCAATCCCATGATTTGTGCCGTGTGTTGACTAATTAACTGTCACATAATCTTTGCAATATGATAATTGTGTAAAAATATCTGCTATTTATGGAATAAACAAAATTTGATATCATTTTATTAAATAATTTTTAAAAAGTGCTTAGCCGGATAGTTTTCTCTTAAAATTGTATTATGTTTTGGATTAAAGTTGTATATGTTTTTTCACGAAAGAATGTCACCAAAAGAAGCATATGAATTTTTATAACAGGACACGTTTGTATGAACACAAGACATGACTGTTCATCGTTAGTATGTAGCTGACAAGACTATCTAACTATTCATTGTTATTATTTTATCTGTCTCAAATTATGTAATACAATTTTTTTGATCCGTTGGAAAATAATGATACTTTTATATTTAAAAATAGTTTAACTTTAAACTTCTCATTTTACTTTTAATGAAATAATTTGAAGTCATAAAAATATCTAAGATTTGTTTTAGACCATAAGTTTTAAAGTTATTACTGCTCATCTCATGGAGGGAAAAGCAAAAATATAATTGTCTTGTTTGTCGTCTCAACGCATTCTTTCCCCAGTATCGTCCCACAAAGAAAGAAAGAAAGAGCACATAGCTCTAGCCCGACCTATAGGTTCGCTAACGTAAAGCGAGGAGTTGAGCCTAAAGGGCGAACCGAAATTATTTTCGGAACTATATTTCATACAACTAACATGTGTTCAGTCCAGCAGGAACGCGCACTGCAAACGAACCTAAGCTGCTATACTGAATCCCCCGATGGCCTTTCTTATTTTAATTAATTATCATCCTAACACAAATTATACTTAAACTACAATCTTCATACATATATTGGGAGAAGTAACATTTTTGGAGAAGAATATTAGGGGTAGGGCGGGGGTAGGGGGAAGGGGGCTGAATACCTCATCATTCCTAAATTTGGTACGAGAAAAGATAAGACTACCTATAAAAGTGAAACTATTTACCCTCCCCTACCCATTAAAGAATTCTACCCACTAAATAATTACAATTCCTACCCATTTAATAAATAAACGACAATAACAAAATAACTACCCACACTTTAATGCCCTACGTATAAAAACGCAGAAGCTGCTCAAAATTTCAGAAAATTAGCGCACAAAC